TGGGCCTTATGCAAAAAGCCAATTGCCAGAGCCAGAGCCAAAGCCAGAGCCAAAAAGCCAACGCGTCAGCGCATGAGTCACGGGCGTAGCCCGCAATTGGATCTTACATAAGCGAGTGGCGGCAATTAGTCAGAATCTCAAGTAATTCGGCATTATGCAACACGGCGGCAAATGGAAACGGGCGACAAATCAAAACTAAAACCATAAAAAAAATAAATATAAAAAAAAAAAACAGCTAATAGAATTTCTCTCTCAACTCAATAATTCTGGCCAGCTGTTGTATCTTGCTCTTCTTCGTGCTGTTGTTGTTTTATTGTGGCGTTTATCGTGGCCATAAAACGCGCCGTAAAAAAAGAGCAACAGCAACAACAACAAATGAAAAGCCAATAAAACAAATATCAAAGCACAAATCAGTTAGCAACAATAAAAGCGAAGAAAATTGCTTATGAAAATGGAAAAATTGTGTATAATAAGTTCGCAGCGATTTCGTAACGTTTCGCAGCTCGCCATTTGCTGCCCGTTTATTGAATGGCAATCACAGCAATTATGTAATTTCATTAGGCCCAAAACTCATGCCTTTCACACACACACACACACACACACACGCACACACACTTGTGGCGCGCCGTGTGTTGGAACCTTTCGCCCATTTGCATTTGACATTGCATTTCATGGCAATTTCTTGTCGCCACCCACAACAATTGACTTAAGTAACAACAAGTACAAGCAATGTGCAATTGTTGTTGATTAGCTGGCCAGCACGACTCGCAGATACCCTAGCTTTGAAGCGCAACTCAAGCCGTTTGCAGAGCAGAATCTACAAAAGTATCAAGAGTTGATACTCCTCTCTACTTCTTATATAAATGTTATGTTAAGCTAAATGTTTTCTTTTTTGGTTTTATATTCGGAATCCAAGCATTTGCATTTCAGTTAAAACACTTTGTGCCAATCAAGATTCAGTTCGGGTTTGAACCAGTGTGGTTCAACTTGCAATCTATATCTATATATTGCTATTTATACTTATGTAGTTTATTTATTTGAAATGTCAGCCTTAGAAGAGACCGGAAGCAATTATCAGCTTGTATTTAGCGATTATGCAAGCAGCCATGTTTAAACCCCTTTTAGACATGGCTCAGTATGTGTGCATATGTATTTATAGAGTATTTGAACAACAACAAACAGTTGACGTTGTCGTTGTCGTTGTAATTGGTTTTTGTCTCGGTTTCCGTCAGCTCCAGTCCAAGTAAGCCGCCCTCTCTCCCTCTCGCAGGCCCAGTCTCCGACTCAGAATGTTGTCGCCATTTGCTGCCAAGTCGTCTGTTGGCTGAGGCGCTGGCGACAACGGGCAACGATAAATGCAATCGCGGAATATGATTGACATTGCATAATATAAGCTAAAAAAAAGAACTACAAAATAGTTGAAAAGCTGGCAAAGTGTATAATATGTAAGCGTAGTTTCTATGTTTGCATATATCAGCGCATATTCTTGCACAACAGCAACAACAACAGAGATAGCAATATATTTACAGTTCATTTAGGAACGTTTATCAGCGATGTTATAAGTATTATGCAATTGCCAGGTCATATAAGCACACACACACACACACACAGTCGCACACACGCGCGCAGTCAGCGATTGCATCTAGATACACACATGTGCACGTTGTTGCACGAGTCGTATACATAATTTGTACTTACGCAAAGGCCTGGCTGGTCTATTATCTAAAAGCGATGCCTGTTAGAATCGAGCAACTGAAAGTTGTTCAACAACTTTTACCGCATCAAATGCGTCACACATATTGACTGAATGTCTCTGCCACTCGCACGCCCCCAACCGAGTGGGAAGGAGGGGAGGACGAGTTCCATGAAGCGATATCGACACGGTTATGAAATATAACGTGATTTTAAGTGGTTCCTGGAAGGCTAGAGCCACAGTCTGAAGTATTTCAAGGTTGATTTTGTAAGAGCTACGTCCATATAAATATATCTATCTGTTTAAATGCCTTGCGTATTGATAACCAGTCTCATGTTACTCAATAACAGCCAGCAGAACGTTCGCCAGTTCAGTTTATGCAAGAACTGTCTGCAGCATGACATATGAGTTACATGCGAAACAGCTGTTGCTTTTCAGCACACTGACGCATTGGCCCACGTCTTTAACGGAGTCTGTGCTTTAACCAATTGTGAATTGTAAGCAGACAGTGTTAGTTAACGTTCTCAGTCTGTGCTTTATCTTGCGAATCAATAGCAAACATTACACATAAACAGTGTTAGTTAACACACATATAAATGTGTTACTTCTTCATCTGAAATAGATGTAAATTATTTAGAAATTGTTGCCGCATCATAAACAGAATATTCAGAAATTAACTTTAAAAGCTTCGCTGATCTTAACAGTGGCTTAAGCTAGTAAGTGCTTAAACTACTTAAGAATTATAAGCGCACAGTACACATAAGCACACATATAAAAGCGATATTTCATTATAACCCTAATGTAATTCCCAACTATTGCTCTACAGTAGATGCATAATATTATTAAGCTTCGATTCTAAGCAAGTCGCTGCTTGAATCACTTGAGAATTACAAGCATATAAAAAGAAATACTTCATTGGAATCGTATATTGATGTTATTGCCAATTGTTGCTCTAGAGTAAACATTGAATATTTAGAAATGAACTTCAAAAAAAAGGCATTGCTGATCTTGAACCACTTGAGAATTACAAGAGCAAACATTGCATAAACGCTTTGGAAACTAATTAAATGAAATGCTTCCTTGTGAGAGGCGTCCCTGATACATTTCAGTTGAAACAATTTCGAAAATGTTCTGCAACTAGCTGTTTATTCGAAATCATTCAATCTGATTGTTGCCTTTGTTGTTGGCGCAGAGCTATCAAATTGATATAAATAACAAGATGTATAAGAACCTTCGGGCGAGCATATATTCAGATTTTGTATTTCTATATTCTTGGCCAACTACCAATAGACATAGACAATGTTGCGGCATTACTTAACATGATATTTTATGCTAAATATTTAGTCGGCCAAAGCAACTGGGCCATGTTCGCATAATCATACGAGATGGCCAAGTGAAAATGAAAGAACAGAAACTACAAAAACAACAAGAAATCAACATATTTATTTGCACGCAATTTTCTTTTTGGCACACTTTGATTTTCGTTTTACATTGAGAACGTATCTGTGGCTGTTTATCTGTTTATGTGTGTGTGTGTGTGTGTGTGATGCGAGATGTAAACAAATTATAACCGAAAAAAAAAAAAAAATAGAAGCCAACATGAAGCGAAGAAAAATATTGTTTACATAACAAAAGCAAAAACATTCGAGCGTTGCCAATGGCCACGACGCTCTTCATGCGCTTGTGTGTGTGTGTGTGCTGTGTGCATGTGTTGGTGTGTTGTGCCGGCATTGTTTATCTTCTAGATACAAAAACTGAACGTCAAAGAAAAACGTGCGCATGTAAACGACAGAGGCAGCAAAACACTCGCAATATCACAGAAACACACACACGCACACGCACACAGAAGTTGCTCTTAAGCTGCGAGAACAGTTCTGAAGAGCGCTAACAGCGCGCGCGAGAGCAAACAGCAGCTGTGACTGTGTGTGAAGAGAGCCACTGCTGCTGTAAATGTGGCGTTGTTTGGCTTTTAGCTGTTGCTCTTCGTGTTGTTATTGCCCGAGTGCGGGCAAAGGCGGGCGAACGAACGTTCTGCTTTGTTTTTGTGCCTGCTGCCTGACTACGTGAGTGCGAGCGGGTGTGAGTATGTGTGTGTGTGTGTGTGTGTGTGCGTGCGTGTGTCTCGACGATTTTGATTTTGATTTCGTTACTTGCGCCAGCGTCCGCGTCAGTTTGCTTCGTGATTCAGTGTTAATTTTCATAATATTATGTAATAACATGTGCGGCCCCGCTGGTAATTGAAAAATTGAGTGTCAATGCGTTGATTGGGCTAGACTACATAGCCCCAAATCACTTACACACGCTGTGCCAAGCACTCGCACAGTTTTAATGCCAGTCGCTGCTCTTTGCGGCAAGTTCGTTGACCGTTTATGTAACGCGCCAAAGTCTCAAACGGTGGGGCTGTTCGGCAGCTGCAAAGCTCAGAATTTTAGGCCAGTCAATTAACAGCATACGCGACAAATGTCACGTCACTGCACGAGAGACAGACAGAGAGAGCGTGTGAGCGAGAGAGAGCGGAACTGGCAGAGAGATGCAAGTAACAAGAGATAGCAGAGCCTTGCACACAGGTTCAGTAATAGATACGGTAATTCTTATTTTTCTGTTGTTGCTGCAGCTGTCATAAAACAGGCAGCGCAGCGCAGGCAATAAAATCAAAGAGAAACAGCGGGAGAGCGAACGCCTTAATGAGAGAGTGGCGCGGGCACTCTTCCACTGCGCGCTCGCATTGCCGCTCTTCGTTTGCGCCTGTGTATATGTGTGCGTGTGTGTGTGTGTGCGTGCGTGTGAATTATAAAACAGAATCAAAAGCTGCGATGGCGGCAGACAGAATCAGGCAGAAACGCAAAACGGCATTTTGTACGTTACGTAAAATTTCTACACACAGTCGATTTCATTTCTCGTCTCGTCTCGTCTTCTGCTTTCAGATGCCAAACCGAGCGCGTCGTCGCTTCCGCTGACCCAACACCAACCGCCAAACGCCAAACAACCAACATCCAGCACGAGCAGCGTCAGCAACAAATAACCAACTCCAGTGACTGTCAAACTGCGAAGGGCAACGCACGCGTCGTCGCTCTCCAAAACAAATTAAATAAAATATAAAATATACATATATATATATATACGAGCATATAAATCCATGCATATAAGCAAATTAATTGAATTATATTTTTGGTGCCAGATGCTGATATGAAGAGCTCAAGTGAAGTGCATAAAATACAAAAAATAGCATGACAAAAAGGCAACAACAAAACGCATAACAACAACAACAACAAACACACATTCAAGGCAACAAAACTTAACTTAATAAATATCCATATATATATATATAAAGAAAAAAGAGGAGAAAAAGCAAAAAAGAAAAACAGTTCATTAACAGCGCGCATTACTGCGACGTCGCGTCGACGCCGTCGTCGTCGTCGTCGCATACGTGACAACGGCCAGCTGCACAGCACAACAACAACAACAACAACAACAGCAGGAATTACAACAGCTGTCAGGATGCCGCTCTCCCAGGGTTATTACATGAAACCTTCGCTGGCCACCAAACGCGCGCTGAAACCGCTGCGCAAGGAGAATCAACAGCAACAGCAACAATTGCAACTGCAACTGCAACAGCAGCAGCGGCAGCAACAGCACTTGGGCGCTGCGGCACGACCGCTGTCCAGCTCAACGCACACGCTGCACGCGCTGCTGCTCAACAACAACAACAACAACAGCTCGCAGCAGCTGTCCTTTTTGCTGGGCGAGTCCTTTGCCCGCTTGGGCAGCCTGGCGCAGGCGTTTAATGTGTACGAGCTGATTGCCAGCCTGCAGCCGGACGGACATGTGCCGCTGGACAAGCTGGCGGTCTTGGCCAGCGCCTTGACCGCACACATACGCCAGCTGGGCGGCATTGTGGGCGTGGGCGTGGGCGTGGGCGTGCCATCGGCCAGCCAGGCGCTGGAGACGAATCGCAGAACCAGATACCAGCAGATGCGACAGCACGTGGACATTTGGAGGGCGCACACGCTGGGCTTGGAGCTGTTGCCGGGCACGGATTTGGATTTGCATGCGCCGACGCGAGAACTAGGCGTACCGAGCCCAACGCTGAGCGAGGACTACGATCCGCTGCTGTGCCCGCTCTGCGCGGACATGCTGCGCGCTCCGGTGACAACCAATTGCGGGCACACGTTCTGTGGCCAGTGCTGCGAGGCGATCACGCAGTGCAACATCTGCCATGTCAAGTTTCCGCGCAGTGCCGACCGTTTGCCGCAGGCCGTGGCCTTGACCAGCACCACCTCCTCCTCCGCCTCCTCCTTCACCTCCTCCAACAGCAGTAGCAGCAGCAGCAGCAGCCTCGGCCTTGGCCTGGGCCTGGGCCTCGCCAGCTCATCGACGCGCTTCATGCCGGGCCTGCCGCCCGCGCCTGTCAGCAGCAGCTTTCCCCACGGACTCGGCCTGCGTCTGGCCGTGCCCGCGCCCACCACGGTGACCACCACAACGGTGGCTTCGACGACGGCAACGGCCACCACGACCATGGCCTCCAGCAGCTCCGCATCCGCCCTGGTGGCCGGCATGGGCGGCTATGCGCTGGGCGGCACCACGGCCATGAAGTTCATGCCGGATGTGCTCGTCAGGCGTCTGGTCGAGAAGTGGTGGGGCGCCGAGCTGCAGGCCAAAAAGATCATCGAAAAGGCCACCAGCTGCATGCATCTCAATCGCCTGGACGATGCGCTCAAGTTCTGCAATGCCAGCCTCGAGAAAGGTGAGTCTCAGCATAAATCTATTTTCTATTTTGTGGGACATACTTTGAGAAACTAAACCAAATTCTCTTCGAACTGAAATTCAACTGATGTGATTTTTCTGCACAGTGTAGAGAATACACTGTGAAAAGTTTTGATACGAATTATAAACTTTTTAAAGATATATCTCTAAATATATATGAACGGGAGCAGGGAAGTCGAACTCTTTTTCAAACTGAGAACTTTTTGAGTTTGCACTGTGCAAAATTTTTGATGCCTATTCCTGTCTTAAAATGGAGTTGCTTTTTGTTGCCTTTTCTCACTTTTAAACCCCATTGGGCTCAGATTCTTTTAACTTGGCAAGATTTTAATCAAACAAGTGTTTTTTAATCTCACTATTGCCCGTTGCACTGAAAATATTGCAAAACCCTCGTATTTTCATACGCAAGTTATGGGCTAGATTCGAACTCTTTTTTTGGTTAGATAAATGCAAAGATTTGAGCCAAAGTTATTACAAATACTTTGAATCTACTTTGATCTGTTTTAAGGGTTTGTTTTATTTTCAAACAAATCGTTTTTAAAAAGAATATATCATTTGTATTTTTATTAAGTATACATGGATTTGAACCGGCTTGTTACAGCTTGAAGCTCTCTAAAATTATACTCCCTTTGTATTAATATTAATGCCTACATATAATATCCAAGAAAGAAGATAAAATGAATTACCTAACATAGACATATAAATCATCAGTTAATTAACTCTGGCACAATACCAAACTTTTCGCTCAGTGTAGCGAATAGAGAAAGAGAGAGAAAATATATATATAGAAAATATTATTGGTCTTGTCAAAATATTATTGTTCGCTTGTGTCTACTATGACAAAACACTCGTGACTCTTAATGAACTCACATTCGGGCAGTTTAAAATATGAAATTACTTTCCATTGGACACGCCTTTTCGCTCAGTGTAGCTTGCAAGTGTTTGGGTTTAAATTTGATGGGTGCTCGGAAAATCAATAAAGAGGATAAACACACTGCTGACGTCAGCAGCAGGCGCTGAACTGTGCAACAGGTTTTCAATGGAAAACCCACACACACACACACACACACACACACAAATGCAACGAGGCCCTGGCCTGGCCTAGGCCACAGGTCGTATGCGCGATGTAGACAACAGTGGGGCGAAGAGGAAGCGTTCAGCCTTAACATCATTTGTCAACTGTTGTTGTTGTTGTTGTTGCTGCTCTAATTGTGTTGTTGTTGATTGTGCCCCTTCCCTTCCCTCTCCTCTCTGTTGCTCTGTGTGCCAAGGACTCAATTATTAAATATTTACGTCGCAAATTCAAAGTAAATAAAGCATGCCACAAATGCTACGCTGTCAAAGGGGTGTGACAGCGACAAGGCGTGGCAGGGCGGAGGGGAGGGGGGGGATTGGTTAGGCACTTGGGACAGCTGCCAAGCAGAGCAAAAACGACAAACCAAATTAAAGTGTCTACTTAAGGGCCACAGCTACAACAACAACAACAATGAGAAAGACAACATCTCGAACTTTGAATTAGTTGGCCACACACTCCACGCCAAATTGCAGACAGATACTTTCAGGGGCCACTGTGCATGAATAATTGAGGCGCTGAGTCAACGCATTCGAGGCATTTCCCAGTCGCACGTAGACAATACAACAACAACACAACAACAACACAGCAACAGCAACAACAACAACAACTACTGCCAAAAGGCACCGAAATATCAGCTAATTAATCATTAAACGCGACACTTTTGCGCCCGAAGCAGTTCCACGAATAGTTCCCCAAAGCTGTTTCTTTTTTTGACTCATTTTCTTTCGATTTTTCTTTGTGTGTGTGTGTTTTTTTTTCATTTTTTATTTTTCCTTTGAAAAATCAGCGCAATACACGCACTTAGAAATCCATCAAACAAGCTGCGAAATACCAGGTCACAGACACTTGACTGGACGCCAGATGCCAGCCGGAACGTTTAGCGCAGCCAAATGGCAGCTGCCCAGGGGCGTGGTCGATGGTGCGTGGGGAGGGGGGGGGATGGGGGTGGGGCAATTGGCAGCCAACAGCTGATGGGCAATTTACAGAAACACATTAAACAAAAACGAAAATTAAGCAGATCAATTTAAGTAGGCGACTAAGAGTAGTTGAACGAGAGAGAGAGAGAGTGGTAGACATAGAGGAAGAGAGAGAGAGAGGGAGAGAGGAAGATAGAGATAGATAGAGAGATTGAGAGAAAGATAGATATAGAAAGAGAGAGAGATAGAAACAGGCAGAGCTTGTGATAGAGAGAGAGCGAGAGATAGAGGGAACGCGCAAGATAGAGTTAGAGCGAGAAGGAGAAAAGGAGATAGAGGGAGTATAAATAGGTATATGGATAGATATATATATATGGGCATGAATAGATGGATGTGTCTTAAATGTTGACAACTGTTGAGTTCTTTAAATGCTTTTAAGGCCAATTAGCAAAAGTTAAATCGAAGAACATATTTGTGAATGGCTTTAAACGAAATTGTGGCTTAAATATTTGATATTTGATGTTTGCCCTCTTTTTTTGTCCAGGCTGCGTAAGACCGAAAAGTTGTTTGTTTTGCATTCAACTTGGCTAAGAACTGCAAACTGCTTTTTATGTTTATAAAGAGAAGTAGAAATAAAACAGCTTAAAAGAAAACAACTTGAGTTGAGTTCTGCTTTTGAGAGTTTTTCTCTCCAAACTTCAGCTGACTGCAGCTCGATTTGTCTACGCTTTAAATTTAAAACTCATCTCTCTTTATTTAGCTAATATACGTAAATAGTTTGTGTCTATTTCCATATTCTAGAAACCCAATCCAACTTTTCTGTCTGCTCCAATTAAAATCTAAACTAAATATAACACGTGAATAATATTTATTTAGTTGCTTTTGTTTTTCGTTTCTTTCGTTTGGCTAATTCCTAAACAGTCTACATATTTAGTGGGTGTCTCTTGGCTATTCAGAGCGCAGGATTTACCATGATAAGGGGGTAGGGTGGGGGGAGGCAGGTGTGTTTTATGGCTTATGCCAAACTGTTGCGTGACTTTTGCGCCCCCACAAAACTGAGAACCGGCCCGTGTTGCTTTCATAATTGTTCTTATCAGAGCACTGTGTTTTCCCCCCCCCTCTCTCTCTCTCTTTTTATTGCTGTTATTGTTATTGTTTATATAGTAAACAATTGTGATTCAATGTGCTGATTAGCCCAGCCAAAGCTGACGCATCATCACACGAGCTTTACGAATTCTGTTTACGCGGCCAAAAAAACGTTCTAAAAATGCGACTTGGGCAATGAGAATTGCCAATTAAAGGCGCTCTAGAAGCTACTCATAAAACGTTGCTAAACACACGTAATCACACGCACCCACACACAAACACACCTTTACCCACACGTTCGCACACCCAAAAGAATCCCATTGGAGCTAAGCTATTTTTAAGCATTGTTTGTTTTTCTTCATTTCTTTTATTTCCTCTCTATTTTTTTTTTGTTCTCTCGCAATCAGTTATTGACTTTTGTGCTGATAAAAAAAATAAAAATGTATCGAAATCAGGGCAGAAAAGAATAGAAAAAAAAAAATAATTGTATAAAATAAGCTGGGCATAAACATTTATGGCCAATTGTTGATAACCAAAGTGCGTAGTCATTGCGTTTAGACAAAGTCAACTGTAGAGCATAAATAAATAAAATATATTTCAAATTGAGCTGTTGACAGCTGTCAAATATGCAGCGTTGCCATATCCGCCGCTGCTAATTTGATGGCCACTCGACGCTGACACTGACAGCAGGCGCTAGCTTAAAATCCGCCCGAACATGAGTGCAACAGCAGCAGCTCCACTTGCCACACACAAACACACGCCGCGCAGTCAGAAGTGTTTGCTTGGGCTTGGATGAGGCACTTAACAGCCAGGCACTAAATGAGCCACAACACGTGCCAGACATGAAGATAATCAACACACACACCAACACACACACGAACAACACACACAAAAGCCACAAAAGATATACTAGATGAGTCGCCCACACGGAGCTGCTAATGTAGTCGTCGACCTCGTGCAACGCTGCCACATGTGGCATGGCGAATTTGCAATTACAGCGACTCACTACACAACACAAATATACCACAAAAGAAGTGCAAGTGCCTTAGCTCGACTAGCAGATGCCCTTTAATAACAAAAGTAGTAGGTTTTTTGTTAATTAATGCTTAAATCTTCTACCTCTGACATAAGCGTGACTTTTATTGCTTGCCAATATAAATGTTCATTCTTAAAAATTGCACAGATTTATGTTTTTATAAAATAGATGAATCAACAATTTATTGGGCTCTTAGACAGCAAATTCACACATCGAATAAATGTGAAGACCTGACCTTAACACCTGCTGTGAAAGCAGACAGTCTAGAAGATATGCTCTAGAGTTAGTTCGCAGCTTAGTAACCAAGTTAAAGTTCTTATATTTGCTGAGAGTTAAGCTTTAAATATGCACTACATAGTTTTTCGCTTCAGTTTTTACTATATCCATAAAATATATAAGGGTTCTTTTATAGCCACAGGGTATACTAGACTTTACTAAGTGGAAAGAGTTGTTAGAAACGGTAGAAACAGTTCGCTTTAATATGCATAAACAAATTCATAGGGGTTGCTGTGTTGCAGTGTTGTAAAATGCCCACATATCATGCAATGTTGCGTCCCGTTTTGGCCTTTTAGTGGCCTCTGCACGCAGCGCCATTGTAATTTATGTAGATATAAGTATATATATCGCAGATCGTATAATTTGATAGCGTGTGCTGGGACTGACCGAAATGTGCATTAAATGTGAAAATGGCTAAAAGAATTTAGCACGTGCCATGCAATCATTTCTTTGTTGGGAACTGTTGACCAAACCCGGCCACTCACACTCTGTCTTGTGGGCCGCAGCTTATTTTGTTTTATGTGGCTTAAATGTGGGGCGCGTTTAATTAGCGGCTAACTGAAATGATATTTGTACTTGCGTGGCATTCATTT